GTATATATGAAAATAGAGAATAAAAGTCAACAAACTTGTGTATATTTTATTGTGAACCAGAGCTAAATACTTATAGGGAGATTAGGGATACAATTGTAATAATGTCTAGGACTATAGGGGTACAATTGTCATTCATTAATAAACTTACAATTTACAACATTTTCAATATCCTTCCAATAAAATATTATTATATCATGTGACAGGCGCACTAAATCGAAGGCGGATCTATCCAATATGTGTTTAATGGCCTAATATGTGTTTGATGGCCGCCTTTTCATGGAGCGAAGTTGCTACAAATACAAAAGATCAAATTTGGACACTTATGGAGAAAGGACCCGCAATAGAGTATATGGTCGATCTCATCAAGAAGTGCAAGACTCGTCAGTTCTTGCTAGAAGAGGGGCTTTGGCGGACTAAAAGAAATCACCTATATATACCAAAGGGTGGGGATTGGAGGAAATCCTTGATTAGAGAATGCCACGATAGACTTTGGGCGAGATATCAGTGAGAGGAATGCACTTATGCATCAATATAGCGTGCTTATTACTGGATGCAAATGACGGATGATATTGCGACATATGTGAGGACTGACCCAGATATGTCACAGGGTAAGACAAACGATAAATAAACAACCTAATTAAATGGCATCATCTTCTATCTTTGTTCAAGTTTTTAATCATCCTACAAAGAAGCATGATTTCATAGAATTGGCCTCCGATTGACATTATGGGAAGAAACGTATTCAACAACATGCATGGTTTATTGTTGTCTGAATGAGAAATTTTGTGTTCCCACAAATGCTTAGAGCTTGCTCGTGGAGAATTTACAAATTCAGATCCTAATAATACCAATGAAAATAGTTGGAATCTTGAAGCTGCAAACTTCAAGATATTAAATTTCTAAGAACCTCGGTGAATATCGTTGCAAAAGAATCGATGCTAATCTTTGGTCTGGACAAACCAATCTCTAAGCCTCCCTCAGGCTCCCTGGATTTGAAAATGGATATGGCTCCATCACCGTCAATAAAAAGAGCTTCAATTTTCTTTGGCCGTCCCCATCCATAATCTTCACTGTAGAAATCAAATCTTGGTGATCCCGCCACCGAAAATTGCCGCTTTCCGATCAATTCTTGGAACTGGGCAGTCCAATTCTGCACATCATGCAATATTCCCTTCTCGTTAAACACGGTTCGGGCAATGGCCTGTCCAATTGATTCTGCTGCAATAAAAAACCCATCATTTCCCTTCAATTTTCCATGACTCGATTTCGCCTGGAGCACAGGTACTACGCAATTGCCAAAGTATGTAGCTGGCAAGGGGGGATTCAATCGCGACCTACAATCTGCCACAAAATTGAAATGCTCCACCTCATCATCCGGCACCATTTCCCCGGACTCTGTGGCAGATTTTGCTAAACAAATCCAGACTAGGGCACAAGCAACCGTGAAAGAGGATACATGGGTTGCTGATTTCCGCTCGGACAATACTAGTTTTTTCAGCTTTTGGACATCTTCTTCCTTGAGGAAAAATGTTGCCCGGAACTTATCGGTTGGTGGGTTTATGAGCGGAGACTCCAAAGAGTCACAATCCTTCAATATTAGGTCCCAATATATTGAATCCAGTCCATTGAGATCTTGAACGTTTGTTCTGTCAAATAATGGCAGCGAACAATATTGACTATCTCCTTTGAATCTGTTGATTGAAGCCCATGACTGTATAAAAGATACGACTGTACTTGCATCCCCAATAACGTGATGGTTGGTGAATCCAAAACATACGCCATGTTCTGGAAATACAGTTACTTGCAAAGCCAAGGCCGGAACTCGAATGGAGTCGGACGAATGGGTTGCCGGTGGCAATTGAGGGACATAAGAATAGAATTCACGAGAATCCCTTTGATGATTTCCAGTAAGGTTATTGAAATCAGCACTGGATTCAGCAATTGTTAAAGAAACAGAATCTCCAACTTTGTAAAGAGAAATGGGCATGCCGGAGATTAAAGGGTGGATTATTTTGCCAGCTAGTGGAAGAAAATGCTTTAGAGTGAGGGAGAGAGATTGTTTGAGGTTGGGAACAATGGAGTCCAAGAAACGGGACTTGGAAATGGGAAAATCAAAGAAGTGAACACTTCGATTAGGAGGAAAATCCCACCATATCAAATCGAAAAATACAAGAGGGAGTGAAAATTCAGTTGCTGCATCGGGTGGAGGGGTAACTTGACAGTGCTCAAGAACGGTGGTGGCCATGGCCGTCGGGGCTTGAGGTCCTTGCTTCAACTGACTGAGGTTGGAGAATTGGATGATGCACTTGATTTTACTCACCAAAATAAATAGTTGAGTAAAGTTGGGAGAGTCTAGCCTTTTACTTGATCATTTTTGTCTAAGAGAAAAATATATTTATTATAAGAGAAGCAATTGGCGTATAGGGCTGTCTTCGCATGGCTCTTACAAGTTACATATAATGGGAGTGGGTGGGTATTTTTTTGACAATATTTTACTCATATGGAGTCCACCCCAAATGAATATTTTGTAATTTTTCTGCGAAACATTATTCTGTACACATAGAATAATTGTTATTATAAGTAGTCACAAGTAAATAGTAAAAATTTATTTCAGGTTCGAAATTAAATATTTATGTTTTCAAATACTGCTATACAATTACAACCTATTTTTGCTCAATAGATACAAAAACGCTATTCTTTAGCACTTGGAGCAACAATTTCTGATGCAGCTGCAAGCACCGGTTTAACTTTGGGGGTTGTATAAAGTATTCACATTGTATATAATTACCATGAAATTATTATATTTAGTGCATGTATGGGAGAGCTAAAAATATTGCTAAAAAATTGAGATAAAAGTTAAATTATGGCCCCGTTTGGGAGGAATTTTGAAATTTGATTTTTTGACCGTTAGAAAAAAAGTGGGATCCACCTGTGAGAGAAAAAGTCAAAAATTACGGCTGAAATAGTGAAATAACGGTCAAAAAGATTAATTTTTTGGATTAAAAAATCCCTCCCAAACAGGCCCATATGGATTCATAATTACCATCCACACTACTCATTTCCTCATTTCGTGTAGCACATAACTCCTTTTTATCCAACTTTTTAACTCTTTCTTGTCAACGCTAGTTTGGTTGTCTCAATGGGGAAAAAAATTAAAACATAATTTTCGATTAACATTTGCTAGATCAAAATAATTTTTACAATTGCGGGGACAAAAATACAGCACCAGCTTTTTAAACGTTTTCAAGCCTTTTTTTGAAAATGAGAAATTTTGACTAATTCTGTATTGACTAAATTTTAATTTCTTCCAATATTATGTCAAATTATAAAACTTTCTTGAAAATGAGATTAATGTTAAGTAATTTTATTTTTTAATAATTGATCGAATTACTAAAATTTGGGACGTTACATGTTTTAGCTTACATGATTGGCATTTTTAGCTCCTCTTTGAACGACTCTTTCTTTATCCACGATTTCTGACACCGACTTGACAACAGTCTATCAAGAGTTACTTCTCTCTTTTAAACTTTACAAATTTTACCTATCACTCCAACTATCCAGTTTTCAAAAAATACACCGTGATTTCTTTGCCATTAAAGGGGGTATGATCGCAGCAAATACAAAAGTCATGAAATAGTGGGCCAAGAATGATGTGATTGAAAAATGAATTCTCTCAAATTAAAATGGCTTCCAAATGGGACAAAATAATTTATTTTTAGCTACATATTTACACAATAAAATATTTTGTGCATAATTTTTTTTTTTAATCACACATTCTCAAAAATCACTGTTCAAAATGGTACTTAATAATGCGTCAAATTACTAAAACTCTCTTTCAATTATTTAAATGAGATATCGCTATACGGCCTTTTCACGTGTTTGTAATTATGGCACCAATTTTTTTTTTATTTTTTAAAATTTTTTTTCATACCTTTCTTCTCGAGATTGGAGAATTAAATTAACGTAGATAACTTTCATGATGAGACATGAGATCCAATCCCAGCAAATGAATCCACGATTACTTCAGATTTGTCCAAGAGAAAAAATATATTTTACTGTGAGTAGTTACGTAGAAATGGTAGAAATTTATTTTAGATTAGCATATTGCACATATTAAAGTGCTGCAAATGAATCATGGCTCTCTCTCTCTCTCTCTTCTTCTTCATTTATTTATTTATTTTTTATTTTTATTTTTTTGTGTCTAAGAGTAAAAGCATATTTATTTTGAGGAGTTACAAAGAATAGAATTTAGTTCAGACTTGAGGGGTCGATCATCAGTATAAGAAATCTAATTTATTTTAATGTTTCATAATTATCATATTTAGTGTTTATTTGGAAAATCTAAAAAAATTGTTAAAAATTGAGATAAAAATTAAATTACATGGATCCATATTACTATCCACACTACTCATTTCCTCATTTCACGAACCACATCACACCTATATATCAAAGTAAACATTTTTAACTCTTTCTTCTCAACGCGACTTTGGTTGTCTCAATGAAAAAAAAATAAAATTTCATAATTTTCGATAAACATTTTCTAGATAAAAATAATTTTTACAGCTGCGTGGACCAAAAACAGAATCTCCTCAAAATCTGTATGGACTCAAATTTCACCTTCCAATCTTTTGTTGCTAACCAATTTACTCTTCGCATTCTTCAACCAATGCTAGGTGAGGACGAGACATTGGACTCTTTGTAGGCGCAGTGTATAGACAGCTTTTGTTCTCTAGTCTGTTGGGGCATATCCCACGACCTATCTCCCTCACAAAGCTCTTTTTAGGTGAGGACGAGACTTATCAACCAGAAATAGTACTCTCACTAACAGGTTGGTACCTTAACAAAAGATTGATATGCACCGAACAATTGGGATTTTAACAAAAAATTGCACTCTATGATCCAATGGTATTCATGCCCCTTTTTCAGCATTTTCGAACAAATTCCGATTGTTCTCAACAATCTAAATAGGCAGAATTCATTAAAAATGTAAGGACGGTCACTAAACTGGAAATATTTTTGAGAAGCACAATGCACATGCAGGCACCTTTGATCTTTCTATCAATGAATAGATAGATATACATTATGGAAAGATCAATTTAAGTGCTTCATTGTAAATAAAGTCATAAATAAAAACGGATTAAAATTCGAGAAAGACTAGCCGATTGATGGTACTTCCTCAATTCTCTCATATAATTTTACCTTCAAATTTTCGAGAAATTGAACGAAATTTCTCTGTGATGATCCATCCATGTCTAATGCACTGTGCATTATCTTACTTACTTTCTTCATCTCTTGCTTCAAATCATCGGAAGTCTTTCCACTCATCAACAAGTTAATCTTCTGAGCAACTTCTTTCATAGTAAGTTGCTCCCCATCACAAAGATTAATTCCAATTTTCCAGTCACTAACCACTAGTTTCCTGTTTGTAGGTTGATCAGCGATAAACGGATAACAGATCATGGGTACACCATACCAAATACTTTCCAATACCGAGTTCCAACCACAATGTGTTATGAATCCACCTACTGACTCGTGTGAAAGGACAATATTTTGATTGCACCATGAAAGGATGAGCCCTCGACCCTTTACACGATTATTGAATCCATCAGGCAAAATATCAGTTTCATCAGGGCCAGCAATATCTGGCCGGAGGATCCAAATAAAATTTACTCCAGTTAGAAGAAGAGCATTTGCTATCTCCCCAATATCCTGCTTATTACTCTGAGCAATGCTACCAAAAGAGATGTACAAAACGGAGCCAGGAGGCTTGGAGTTGAGCCACTGAGTGCAATCTGATTCAGGCCAAATGCTTTTTGCAACACTAATTTTTGTGAAGGTTGTATCAAAATTTATAGGGCCAATTGCATAAGTAGGTTTTCCTAGATTTAGGGTTGATAGTGATCCTGATTCAAGTTCATGGATCGTGTTACATAAGATAAAGTCTGCCTTCTTCACCTGCTCAAACCCCTTGATGACAATCTTGAGCAATGTCGTGGTTACGTCATCGTCCTGAAGATATGACATCAAGTCCCTCTTGCTAATTGGCTGAACACCGGGTATGTAATCTATTTGATGCACTAAATCACCTAATAATCAAGCGAAAATGAACAGTACGTGTTAAGCATTAGGCTTGTGAAGATTTCATAACCCAATCCCAAGTATTGAAATAAGACTAACGGCGTATAAAATAGTATACGGTAAAAATAAAGGGCTTATAAGAGTCAATTGTTACCATAAAAGAGTACACGAGTAATTAGTCACTTTGACGTTTGAACAAGTAGACATGTTATTGTCACAAGAAGCTAAAGCATGTTTCTCCCAGCTATCAAAAGTACGAAACTTCAGGGGCGGGGCGGTGGGGACCCTCAAGGTTGGGGTTCAACCTTTTTTTTTTTTTAATTACGTGATCCATTTGTGAATATGTTTCTTTTTTAGTTAACTGAAAGTGTTACTTATTACATAATTAACCAAGACATCCGTTCGGTTATTTATGACCAAAACACATCGCACTAGATGCATGAAGACCAGATCTGGATCAAAGATGTGGCCTCATGATTTTCATTGATTTACTCATTACGTTTCGATGTACTTTTCGTACTCGGATGAGATTATCTACTCTTCTTTTACTGGAGGTTTGGTCTATGACCCAACTCTCTCTCTCTCTCTCTCTCTCTCTCTCTCTCTCTCTCTCTCTCTCTCTCTTTTCCTGGTTAATAGGCATAGGCTTAAGTATGTTAAGCATAGGCAAAACATGGTTGAAAAGTAAAACACAATCGTATAGGCCTAGTTCGAAAATGGTTGATGAAGGAAGGAAAGAAGGAAGGTGCGCATACCATTCCATGGGAGATGGCCATTTTGTCTGAGAAGATCCAAGTGATAATCTATAGCGAACACTATAGCTGGTTCTGTCCAAAGTGAAACATTCACCAGACTGTACTTTTCAGCAATTGCTGCTGGCCATGAATAGAAAGTGTCAGCAATCAGAAAATACACAGAAGAAGGATTGGATTGAATTGTTTTTCCAACAAGTTCATCAACACGAACAGGGAAATCCCGAAACATAGAATCCCAGAACTCGTCGAAGTTGAGATCCCGATCGAATTCTGGAGGAAACCCATCAGATATCGTGCTGTAATGTATGTCCAGACCAGATTTTCGAGCTTCGGCAAAGAAATCTACTTCAGTGGAAGAATTGTGATTATGGGCTTTAGATATCGAGTGATGAATAAATTCAGTGTGGATGTAAGTAAGGGTGAAGCCCTTCGAAGCAAGCTTGAGAGCAAGGTTGATAGCTGGGGTAATATGACCTTGGAAGCAGAAAGGAATTATAATGGCATGTGGCTTGCGTTGCCTTTCCTCCATTTTCCCTCTATCAATGAATCAATAGAGCTTTCTTGAGAGAGTGAGGTGAATTAAAGAGGACCGTTGAACATTTTTTATTGAACAATGCTGTGTGCTCCTGCTACCAGATAAATTTTTTAATATTTTTAGTTTAAAATTCAGTATTCACTCAACTACTGAATTTATAAAGCACGAAATTCAGTATTCACTCAACTACTTAATTTATAAAGCACGAATTTTTCGTTCTTGAAACTTAGATATCATTTGCTATTACTCTTTATCAACAGAATATTTGCAACTACAACTCTGTTGCTAATTTGAAGGTCGTTAACAGTTACCAACGGATCCTGCCATAGGTAAAGAATAAACATTTTACCAACGAATTTTTCGTAAGTAAAGTGTGAATCTTTTACCAACGAAATTTCTGTTGGTAAAAATCTTAACCAATATCAACTAATTTTCTGTTGATAAATGTCTCCCATTACAATTGATAAAAATTAATATTGTAAATAGTCACATATGTGTTATTTATTTATTTATTATTGTTATTATTATTTGTTTAATAATTCTATTTTTTTTTTTTTTACTTTTAGCCAACCGAATTGAAAGGTCAAAATATTGTTTAACCACTTATTGGACACAAATTAATTTATAGATAGCAACTTCGAAAACTTTGTTGTGAACTTTTGATGTAGGATAAGTGAATTATTTTTACCAACGGATAATCCGTTTCTAATTACCAATGAAATATTCATAGGTGAAAGATCCAAATATTAAATGATTACATAAGGGACAGAATATCCGTTAGTAAAGAGATATCATCATTACCAATGGAAAATTCGTTGCTAATTATTGTAGTTGAAAGTGAATTACTTTTACCAATGGATAATCCGCTTCTAATTACATCCGTTGGCAATATTTAGTATGTCATCTACGAAACATTCTTAGGTAAAATATCCAAATGTTAAACAGTTACATGAGGCAAGGAATATCCGTTGATAAAGAGATATCATCGTTACTAAAGGAAAATTCTTTGTTGATTATCGTAGCTAAAAGTGAATAATTTTTACCAACGGATGATCCGTTTCTAATTACCAACGGATGCAATCCGTTAGTAATTTTCCGTAGGTGAAATTTTTTTTTTTTAATAGTGATGTCAATTATCAGGCCTTAATTATTTAAATACATGTCAATTAAATAGTTACAACTTATGGGGAATATTGAGTAACTCATATTTTGAGAGAATTTGAAATTTTTTCATGTTACCAGGAATCACCAACACCAGCTTAAGTAACTATAGTTCGATGGACGAAAATGAATTTCAATTTCTTTGAACAGTGTATTGGTAATTCTACTATCACAAGAAAAGTAATAATCACTGCTAATGAGATACAATATTATTATTTTGGATTAAAAGTCTAAACCGATATTGAAAGGTTAATTTTAGAAGTGATCATTCAGAGTAGCTTATGAGCAAATATATTCTGAACTAGGACTGCTCAAAATAACCGTGAAATCGCAAATCGAACTGAAGTCGTTGATTTGAAACCGTTGGTTTGGATCCATGTGGACCCGTGATTTTATTTATTTTTTTCCAAACCGTTTCAAAAAGTTTGGTTTAGGTTTCAATTTTCAAAAACTGCAAAAAAATCAAATCGAACTGCACTTTTTTAATTTTAAAAAATATTTTATGATAAAGAAGAGAATAATTTACATGTTGGAACTTTCCCTTGTTGTAGAAGCTGGGATGGATGTTTATTGATTTGGAAAGATAGTTTGTTGTATTTGGGCTAATTTTTATAGTTGTGGACCTTTTATCTTGGGCCATTTTTTCCTTTACATTAGGCCCACTATCCACTCATTTAGAAAAAACATATAGAGCAAAGTAAAACCCTATATTTCCCACCTAACACGACTCTGCCACTGAGGAGCCGTGTCCTACTACCATCAAAGCTTGGCTCAAAGCTTTATTTCGTTTGCATCTTGTTTCTTAGTTGCTTGTTAATATCATTAATAATGACTAATTTTTATCAAATGAGAGGTTAGTACTCTTACACTTATTTTGATATTATTGCTTGTAAAAATTTGAGTGGAGTTCTTGCTACTAGATACCAACTTAATAACTAACTTATACTATTTTTTGGAGATTTTAACTCCAATATAATTTAATTATTTCAACAATCCCTTACTTTTTCGTTTTTCGATATGTAATAAATATTATATAATTATTGTCGTTTATGAAATTTGTGTTATTAATTTTGAATTAATTAATATTCATATTAATCTAGATTCAATGAATTTTCACTTGATGAATCTTGATATATGTGGATCTAGAGTTATTAGAGATGAATTTATTTATATTCATGTATCTAGAAATTTTAATGGGTATTTAAATTTATGTATAAACAATTAATTTTTATGTATCAAATGTATAAAAGATTGTTCATTTATAGTATTTCATCATTACAAAAAATTAAAAAAATAAATAAAATTGAATCATAGAAATTGAGTTTTGAGAGTACAATTTGAGTATAATTTTCTTCTCTTAAATTTTTATGCTTGTTTGTTCATGATCAATAAATAAGCAAGCACTAGTCGACTAATTTTGTGAAGGGACAAGAAAATTTGTGAATTGAGGTAATAAGAGATGTTTGCAGAATCCTTTCGTTGTGAAACAAAGTGTTGAAAAGTTAATTCGAATATATTATTATATTTCTCTGGAAGACAGGTCTCGAGTATATTTCAAAAAGCAGCAGAGGTCCCTCCACTCTTAAAAGCGAGAACTCTTTTCTTTATTTGGTGTACCTACTTGGAAACTTTCAAAGTTACTATGTTTCATTTATGAAAATTGCAAAAAACAAATAGATACTTCCTAACTAAGAATCTGAACCATTACAGTAACCTCTAAACCAAGAATTAGATCCCAAACATTATCAGATGAATCGTTTCTGCAGCAACCATTTCAGGATCCAGTGTGGAATAAATCTAATTGGAAAAGTAGGAGAATATGATATATATAGATAGCATTAGAACAACTTATATTCGCATATGTGATAAATTTCAAATACAGGCAATAACAGTTACAAATTCCATCCATCTGCACATACTGATATCACAATGCATCCACACTTTGCTAACTTGTAATTGATTACGTTAACATTCACGCTTTGCTAACTTACCCACTTGTCCATTATTGATAACTTGTAATCAACCTGGATATGAAAAATGGTAAGTGATCATTAGGCAAACCTTTCGTATCTTTCCTCCTCACCTTGCCAATGACTAGATGGGTTCGCAGACTTTAGTTCAAGGTTAGCAATTAGTATAATGCAGTACTAACTTTGGAAGAAGTATTGTATCTTGAGAGACAAACGTCCAAGAATCCTGTTGACACCAACCCAAGGGGCAAATTGTATATTAAAGAAATTTACTATGATATATCTCGCTTCATCTTCATTTCCACTTACTCTTTCTTTTGATTGTACAAGTCGTTAATTTTACAACGCTACCAGTCTACCATTACCATTCA